GTATCATCTCAAATAAAACCAGTGTATACAAGTATCAAAACACTACATGCAGGGCTGGGGATTTAGCTCAGTGGTTCTGGCACCTGCCTGGCAAGCTCAAGGTCCCAAGCTTCGATCCCCAGTACCAAAAAAACAAAACAAAACAAAACAAACAAACAAAAAAATACTACATGTAGGGCCTAGGATTTAGCTCAGTGATGCTGCGCCTGCCTGACAAGCACAAGGTCCTGAGTTTGATCCCTGGTGCCAACCCCCCCCCAAAACAAAAAACAAATTACATGTATCCCATAAATATGTAAAATTTTCATGTTTTTATATACAATCTAAGAAATAAATTTAAATAAAAAATTTAGTTCCTTTCCAAGAAGTCTCAAAAGGTTTACACATCAGTAAAGATGACAGACAAGAATAAATAGTTGTAAAGGAGTGGATAATTACTACAGTAACGGGTACTCTTAAAACACTAAAATTCTGCTAAAAGATTCTAGAAGAAGGGATAAAAAGGCAGAAAAAGGGAGAGCAAGTAGTTACATTCTTCTTCCCTTCACGAAATTCCAAGAGAAAAACATCAATCAAGACACAAAACCATGAAAAAGAACTATGTATCTAGCTGGGGATTTAGCTCAGTGGTTTCGCCGACTGCCTCGCAAGCGCAAGATCCTGAGTTCTTCGATCCCCCATACCAAAAAAAAAAAAAAAGAATTATGTATCTAGGAAACAGATAATGGTCCAGTAAGACTTACAGATAAAGGGTTGGGGTGTTGCTCAGTGGCACAGCATTTGCCTACCAGGCATCAGACTCTCCACAAAATCCCCGACAGAAATCCCCCGCAAAAGAAGTCAGAACTGACGACTGGACTTAAGTTTTGAAAGGGTTTATAGGTTAGCATCTGCAGCCAGTGGGAGCCACTGGACCTGTTTCAGCAAAGGAGTGCATGGCTAAATCTTTAATTTAGAAGGCAAACCTAAGCATTAACATGGACTGCAGACTGTGATGGAGGACCAGAGGCAGAGAAGCTGGAAATACATTAACGATAAACTGTGCAATTGCTACCCCTAATAACTAAGTTCTTGCATTATAGGCTAAAGCACCAAATGCCAGTATAAATCTCAACACTAGTGCTTTTTATTTTTCTTTTTGAGAGTGCTGGGCATCAAACCTAGGGCTCGTGCATGCTAGCTAAGTGCTCTATGACTGAGCTACGTTTTTTTTTAATTATGTTTATTTATTGGTACATTTTAGGTATACAATACATTTACATTCATCATTGGCATCTTGTACCTTTACATGATGTATCTTGGTTCTTACTTTTTTCCCCATTCCCGGGCCCTCCCTTCCCCCCTTCCACCCTTCCCTATTTACAAATAATTTCTTTCCATTTTTTTTCCTTTTCTCATATTTTTCCTTTTCCCTTCTTTCCTTTCCCCTACCCCTCCCATTTCCCCTATTCCTTTAGACCTTTTCTTCCTATTTCACAATATCAATTATATATTTTGATCCTTATTTACACTTTTAGTTTTTCACACCAGAGAAACTATTCAGTATTTACATGTGTCTCCTATTTATTTCACTTAAGAGTATGGCCTCAATGTGCACCCACTTAGCTATAAATGTCTCTAGTTTCTCGTTTCTTATGGCTGAGTGGTACTCCATTTTACAAAAAAAACCACATCTTCTTTATCCAGTCTCCAGTTGATGGGCAATTGAGCTGTTTCCAAGTTTTAGCTATTACAAGCTGTGCCACTATAAACATGGGTGAGCATTTAACACTGTGGTATGATTCTTTTATTTCTTTTGGGAAGATACCCAGCAGAGGAATAGTTGGGTCAAATGGGACTTCCAATCCTAGTTGTTTGAGGTATCTCCTCCATATTGATTTCCACAGTGACTGCACCAGTCTGCACTCCCACCAACAATGAAGAAGGATTCCTTTCTCCCCACAACCCCACCAGCATTTGTTATTGGTTGATTTCTTGAGAGCAGCCATTCTTTCTGGAGTGAGGTGGAATCTCAGCATTGTTTTCATCTGCATCTCTCCCAGACTTTTTGTGGCGAGCTCAACTGCCAAGTTCAAGACCCAGCTCCCTGGGGATCTGAAGGAGGTCACACTTAACAGAAATCTGCAGGTCACAGCAACAGGGCATATGACAGACACTGCTGCTAGATATGAGAGGGCCCAACAGAACTGTTACTGAAAATTCTACCTCCTTCTTTCCTCACCTCTAGAAAATTCTAGAAAGACAGGTGATGCCTGCTATACAGTCTAATAATTCAAATCTTCACTAGTGTTTTTATTCCACATTCTCTTCCCCTCCTGGCACCCCAAAGAATGCTTTCAGATGCTTTGGCCATGTGAATGGAGATGGAGCCCAGTCGTCATCCTTTAAAGCAGCACTTTCCAAATCCAGCGAACGACATTCCTGAGTCAAAAGTCTCCTAGAGGGGCTGGGGGTTTAGCTCAGTGGTTTTGCCGCCTGCCGCGCAAGTGCAAGGACCCGAGTTCGATCATCGGTACCAAAAAAAAAAAAAAGTCTCCTAGGAATGACCAGTTATGTTGAACACTTTTTCATGTTTATTTGCTGTTTTTACTTCTTTGCCTGAGAAATGTCTGTTCATTTCAGATGCCCATTTTTTAATTGGGTCTTTATATTTGGGGGGGGGTCCTGATTTTTTTGAGTTCTTTATATATTCTAGATAGTAGTCCTTTGTCTGAGGAACATCTGATAAAAATTTTTTCCACAGTGTAGGCTGTCTCTTAGCTCTGTTGGTGGTTTCTCTTGCAGTGCAGAAGCTTTTTAATAAGATGAGGTTCCAGTTGTTGATTCTTTGTGCTAGTTCCCGTGCTACTGAGGATTTGTTCATAAAGTCTTTTCCTATGCCAATGTCTTTGAGAGTTCTACCTAACTTATCTTCCAGCAAGTTTAATGTTTCTGTTTTAATATTTAGATCTTTAATCCACTTGGATTTTAGTTTAGTGCATAGTGAAAGATACGGGTCTAGTTTTAATCTTTGGCAAGTTGAAATCCAGTTTTTCCAATACCATTTATTTTATTTATTTATTTATGTATTTATGTATTTATTTATTTTGGTACCAAGGATCTAACTTGGGACCTTGCGCTTGTGAGGCAGGCGCCGCAACCACTGAGCTAAATCCCTGGCCCCCAACACCATTTATTAAAGAGGCTATCTTTCCTCCAGTGACGACGGTTGGCTCCTTCGTCAAAGATGAGGTAGCTGAGTATGTCTGGAATTGTTTCTGCATCTTCTACTCTATTCCACTGATCCTTGGGTCTGTTTCTTTGCAAGTATCATGCTGTTTTTATCACAGTGGCTTTGTAGTATAGTTTCAAGTTGGGGATTGTGATACCCCCTGCCATGTCTCTGTTGCCTAAAATTGCTTTTGCTATTCTAGGTCTCTTCTGGTTCTGGATGAATTTTTGGATTGTTTTCTCTAGTTCTGTGAAATACACTGTTGGGATTTCAATGGGGATTGCATTGAATCTGTATAGCAGTTTTGGAAGTATGGCCATTTTCACTACATTGGTTCTTCCTACCCAGGAACAAGGGGTAACTTTCCATTTTCTTATATCCTCTTCAATCTCTTTTTGCAGAGTGCTGTAGTTCTCAATATAGAGGTCTTTTGCTTCCTTCGTTAGATTGAGTCCTAGATATTTCATTTTTTTTTATGCTATTGTGAAAGGGATTGTTTCCCTAATTTCTCTCTGAGTCTGTTATTTGTGTACAAGAAAGCTATTGATTTTTCAGTGTTTACCTTGTATCCAGTTACACTACTGAATCTGTCAATTAAGTCTTTTGGAGGAGTTTTCTGCATCTTCTATGTAGAGCATTATATCACCTGACTGAGCTACATATTTTTTTTTTTTAAGCTGTCTCATTTATTATTTAGGCTATTTAGGTAGTAAGCTTATGTTGAAAATGGAAGTGAATTTTTCAATTGCTTTTAATAAAAGTAAATAGTAATTAATGAACTTACTGTTATACACAAAATTGTCTACGTTTAAGGTGAGAATCTTTGCCAATAGAAAGGCGCTGCTCCAAATTGTGAATGGTATTACGAAGAATTGCAACCTCTTTGTTTTATTTCTTCTTGAAGATGTTGAAGCTTCCTTCTGTAGATACTCTGTGGGGAAATAGTAGCATCTGGATATGGTTTTGATTTAGTCTGAGCTCTTGCTAGTTTGGCATCAAACTCCAGCTGCAGTTTGATTATTTCATTTTGCTTTTCTTGAGTTATTAACTTTGCATTTGAGATTTCCATCTCCTTTTTCTTTATTAGATCTTTGTGCTTTTCTTCATTTAATTCAACTTTTTTCTGCATACCTTGATAAAGTTTGCTTATTTCTATCTTATGTTCTTCCTCTTTGATTTTCATTTCATGTACAAGTTTGGCAATATTATCCTTATATTCCTGTTTGTGAGATTTCAGCTTTTCCCTTGTCATATCAGCATTTCTTTTTAGTTGTTCATTTTTACCTCTCAAATTGTGTTGATATTCAATGGTCTGTTGTAGCCCTTTTATCATATCATGAAGAGCAGCACATTCTTTTTTAATTGAGGCATCCTTTGTTTGCATTACTTTTAATAAACAGGTACTCTTTTCTAACTGAATTTCCAGTATGTTATTCTTCCACTGGTTTCTATCATTTTCTTTTCTATCTGTGAAAAATCTTTTATAAGTTTGTCAATATTCACACTGCTAATCTTTTTTGTACATTCGTCACCACTCTGATCCTTGCTTGAACTTGATAAATACAGTAAAATTTTGCTGTTGTTCCTGGTTCCTCAAAATGACTGAGCTACATCTTAAAGGGACCTACCAAAGTAGGGATACAAAGGCTGATAGATGATCACTTCAAATATCCTTCTGTGAAACTCTATAGAGGAGTAACAACATTACAATGTATTTTCTTCCTTTTTAAGATGAAGACTCTCCTATCTTACTGTCAATATATGGTGGATATACATTTTTAAAACTTACCTATGACAGTATCCTGGGGCAACACAAGCCCAAGATGGTAAGTTTGGGCTACTTTCAGTGCAAAAAACCAAAACCCTGAAAAGAGAGAAAAACCATGATGAGCCGCATGCTCAAGGCGAGATGTCTGAGGAAGCAGCAGAGCAGGCAGCCTTATCCAAATCCACATCCTTCCTGTCCACTACTGTCTCCTGGGCCAGTGGTCCAACCTCTCCACGCCGAAGCTTTTTCATCACACACTGGAGCAGTAACTGAATCTTCCTGAGAGGGTTCTTTTGAAGTTTAAATAAAGTATGTGTAAAACACTGAGTACACATAGGGCATGTATTCAATAAAAGCAAATGGTCATTAGGAATGTGAACTGGATTGGTACCGTGCCTGCTTGGCAAACGCAAGATCCTGAGTTCGATCCCTGGTACCAAAAAAAGAATGTGAACTAGAACACTTTTTGAATAGACATTAAAACCTTTTGGGGGCTGGGGATTTAGCTCAGTGGTTCTGCTGCCTACCTCACAAGTGCAAGGTCCCAAGTTCGATCCCCCGTACCAAAAAAAACCCCTTTTATTAAGTCTTAACTTTTTTTTTTCCAGTATTGGCGATTGAACACAAGGCCTTCATAATGAGCTATATCCCCACTTCTTTTTATTTCATATTTTGAGATAAAGACAGTAAATTGCCCAGGCTGGGCTTTAACTTGCAATCCTCTTGCCTCAGCCTCTCAGATTACTGGGATTATAGGCATGCACCACCACAACTGGCTACAAACTTTTATTTCTTATTTTACTTTATGTGTCAAAAAACAACAGATTGCCTTCAAGCTCTCCATCTGGATGTCTTACAATCATTTCAGACTGAGCTGAGGGTTTCCTTCCACCTTCACTATCTTTAAGGTCTCAGGTGAGAACCTAGGTTCGTCCTGCACCTCACCCACTCCAAACCCCTCACAGGACCCCTTCAGCAAGTCCTATCATTTCTGCTTTCAAAATTTTTACCTCCCATCCACCCACAATTCACTGTTCACTGCTATCTCATTTCTCTCTCATGCAAGCCTCTTAGCTGGTCCCTGGTTGTCTCTTACTTCTTCGCTTCCATTCCCAAATAATACCTGGAATAGCTTCTTTAAAATCAACTCATAGCAAGCTGCTAATAAAGGCAGTGACCATTTTATTTATTTCACAATGGAATGTCTCTCTCTGAAATATATATTCCTACATATGTGAGTACATAGATACATGAATGCACATCTGAATAAAAAAATGGCCATCCCTTCATTGAACAGTGGCAAAAACAAATGCCTGAGGCTCAGCTGCTCAAGGCTGCTCCTGCAGCATGTGTGAAGGTGGTCAAAACAATAGTGACTGAGGCAGAAGCTCATCTGTGATAAACTACTGTAAGGATGTCAGCAAGCTGGCATTTGGAAGTCAGCCCTTTGTTTCACAATCAACCTGCTGCTTCCTTCCCAGACAGCACATTGTATTCCCTGTGGCTACAGACTTCAAGGTGTAGCTTTAGGCCCACATTACGCCAGTGTTTGAGGTGGTACACAGCAAATCCTGAAAGCACTTTGTGACTTATATGTCATCACCTCTACTTATTTTATTTAACACTGTTTGAATGAATAATCTCAGATGGAATAGTGCTGGGATGAGACTTGGTAATACTGAAATTATTCTTCCCACCCCTGTAATACACACACTCTTGTGCCAACAGTCTTTCTTTCTCAACAGCAAATTTGACCTTTCCTCATGTTGCCGTTTAAATTGATTCAATAATTAACTATCACCTTTAAGGTAAAATCTAAGATATCTCAGGCCCGTCTTCATTTCCCATTTTATTTATATTGCTCATACCTGGTTTCCTTGCCTACCATACATGTACTAATATCTGCTAAAGCCCTTTGCCAATTCCTTCCACTCCTCTTTTATCTGCCTCTGGTATTCTTGCTAGGATATTTTTCTGTATAGGAGGCTACATGCACTCATATTTGAAATAAAAATTAATCCTGAAATTATCTAATTCAAGTTTCTACAGCACTATTTCCCTTTTAAGAAACAAATAATGGCAAATTCCTTCAAAATATCACCCTGAAATATTAAGAACTACTCTGTAATTCTACTATCTGATCATGTACCCTTATAGTGGTGAACTATGAACTACCTCAGTTTTCTCTACTCTCCTGCAAAGCAACCAAACTCACCCTGGGGCTCACAACAGGGTTGTGTGGATCTTGGACTAATCAATCCCCAGGCTCTGCTAAAAGGTAAGCAGACTTAAAGAGTTCTTCCACGCTGGGCATTATAGTGCATGCCTGTAATCCTGCCACTCTGGAAGGCTGAGGCAAGAGCACTGAAAGTTGGACCCCAGCCTTGCCAAACTTAGCAACCCAGAGAGACCCTGGCTCAAAATAAAAAATGAAAAAAGGGCTGGGGATGTAGCTTGGTATAAAGGGCCTTAAAAAATAAGTTTTTCTACCTCGAAAGCCAGGTATGTAACTAAACTTATAGGGTATAATTAGAACCAACTCTTTCTTAGGGAATACAGCCAGGTGAAATAAATTTGTATTTGACAAACTATATTTACTAAATTTACTAGTAGCACCTCTGATATGGCAGGATTTTAATTTTCAGCATGATTTGACTATTCAGCATGATTTTTCTTATTTATTTAGCACCACTCCCTCTTCTCCTTCCCAGGTTTCCTAGGACTCACCACTGTCACCAGTTTGGAATGTATATAATTGTTGGGATGCAGATTGTCAGGAATACACTATAAACTTTTTTTTTTTGGTACCGGGGATCAAACTTAGGACCTTGAGTTGGCGAAGCAGGTGGTGGAACCACTGAGCTAAATCCCCAGCCCAACACTATAAACTTTTAACCGAGTCACAAATAATACTAAAAGCCATGACTGCCTACACTGTTGGGAACTGGCCTAACTTCAAGCAAGACATCCAGAGAAAAGTGCTAAGCGAAGCAGCAAACATGAGGGGGTAGCGAATACCAGCAAGAGGGGTGGGAAGGTCTTCCCAGAAGGAAGTAGAGTGGCAGAAAGGACAGTACTACCCATCCAGTTGGCCCAAGCAGAAGGTACCTACAAAATTAAGTAGCACAGGGCCGGGGATTTAGCTCAGTGGTGCCGCCGCCTGCCTCAAAAGCACAAGGTCCTAAATTCAATCCCTGGTACCAAAAAAAAAAAAAAAAATCAATCCGAAAGAAAAGAAAAAACAAAAAACCAGGTGCCTATAGACAGATAAATGTGATATATACGCACATTATACACATATGCAATGGACTATTATTCACTCATAAAAAGGAATAAAGTTCTTACATATTAAAACATAAATTAACCTTTAAAATACACTAAATGAAGCCAGGCATGGTGGCCCATGCCTGTAATCCCAGCACTCGGGAGGCTGAGGCAGGAGGATTGCCACGAGTTTGAGGCCAGCCTGGACTACATAGTGAGTTCAAGGCCAGCCTGAACTGCACTGCGACACCCTGTCTCCAAAAAAAAA